TAAGCTGAATATCAACCTACTTTTCTTTGGCCATATGCACTTTAATCTGGCTTTGTGTTCTATTAATGCACAGTTTATCAATCAGGTTTAGGTTCCATTCATATTTTTTGAAAAATACGCACTATTTCCTAGTCTTGCTTTCCCTCCTATGCATCAAAATGTCATGTTGCAAGTATAAACCATAGACCTTGGGATCGTCATGCCAACCTCTCTTAGATTGGTTTTCTCTAGGTCAATACCTCACATATCGTGTTATTCATTTTGTTTAAATTACTCAAAAATGATTATGGTTTTTGTTAAGTCGATGTATGAAGAGTTACAAATCAGTGTGCATAAATAGCCTGTCTTCTTTTTCTACCATAAAGAAACTGTATTAGTTGAAACGATAGAAGCCCTTTCTAGGGGTATACCTGCAACATGCATACAAATTTCATTCTTATTGGTTTTTTATTCTAACTTTTGATTTTAATCATCTATACTTTTTTTTAATGTGAGCTTCTTGTTGTTTTAACTCTTGTTTTAAGTCAATTGGAGAAGGTCCTACTTGTTACAGTTGAAATAGAATTGATATACTTGCATGCTAAATATTTTTTTTTCACTGCAATTTGCCTCATGTTGCATTCAGAATGTGTTTGCTACTTGCAAAAGCTATAAATGTGTTATTAAGAGCCAATGTCGTCTAAATGTATTTAATGCTAGAGATCAAACTTTCTAATCCCGTGTCATGTTTTCCATTTTCCAATTATGCATATTGCATATGAAAGAAACTTGATTCATTTGCCTAAAGTAATACGTACAATAGGTAACAGATTTGTGTGTTAAATTTGGATCTTTCAATGTAGTATATATGAATGTCATCATTGTTCTCTTTGAGTTCCTTGATCAATGTCATAAGTTACTTAAATGTTCCATACGACCTGTCAAAAGTGATTTTTGTTGCTACAGCAAATAGGGCTCAACCTATTCCTCCACCGCTTTTGGATAGAATGGAGGTCATCGAGCTTCCTGGGTATACACCCGAAGAAAAGCTAAAAATAGCAACCACACATTTGATACCAAGGGTTATGGATCAGCATGGTCTGAGTTCTGACTTCCTTCAAATTCCCGAGGTACATCTTTATTGTCATTGAACAAATTACCCTTGTATTGTAGCTTGTAGTTTTGTATATAGCCTTCCAATTCTTGGAAAAGAAAGGAGTATTATAACCTTCCATTTTGGTTTTTGCTAATATAAAGCCTTCTAGTCAAATTTTTAATCTATTTTTGGTTTTTTAAATGTGATTGACTGAAAAGATGCATGGTTGTATAAGGTGGAGAAAATGCGAGAGTAATTAAATACTATGTAGCACGGACACGGATCCGACACGGCCATCCGACACGCCGACACGAGGCAAATCCTAAAAAATACATAGGATACGTGTGTTCGACACGTGTGTCCGACACGGACACGACACGACACGGCTTCATGTTATGTGTGTCCGTGCTTCATAGATTAAATATATCCTTTTAATATTTTGCAATCGAGGTGTTCACCCTGCCAGCAGACTTATCAATTAGATATTTTATTAGATATTTTCCTACAATGGGAGCTAATTATGGATTCTTTTTACCACTTATTTCTTTTTTGATATATACTCACCATCTTAGGATAGTATGCAAACATATCTCTAGAGCAACACCAAATCATAAATAAGCTTTGATTCCTTCTTGGAACTTATGACATTCTTTCATTTACACGCTATTTGTTTAATTAAGAACTATCAGAGATAGTGACTGATATCTTTATCCCTTTTGATAGGATATGGTGAAACTGATAATTCAGAGATATACCAGAGAAGCTGGTGTTCGTAATCTGGAGAGAAGCTTGGCTGCCTTGGCTCGTGCAGCGGCTGTCAAGGTTGCTGAGCAAGAATGCTCAATGCAATTTGGCAGAGATGTGCATCAGATGACAACTTCCCTGATGGACACACGACTTGCGGATGCGACAGAAGTTGAAATGGAAGTTATTCCTATGGGAATTAACCGCCACGAGATAGCAAATTCATATGCAAGCACCTCTGTCCTGGTTGTAGATGAGCCCATGCTGGAGAAAGTGCTTGGGGTAATAACTAATTTTTGTAAGGGTAAAATTCACAAAACCCCCTGAATTTTTGGGGGTCTTGCACGAAACCCATTGAAGCTTATAAATCATATAAAACCTCACTGAACATTCAAAACCCTCCTTAACTAAACATTCAAAGCCCTCGTGAAGCTCTTATAATAACTTTTGCGGAGCACATGACAACTTAAATGAGATAAGTTCAGTGTTGTTTCGTGCATAACATCCCAAAGTTCAAGGGGTTTTTGTGAAACTTACCCGTTTAACAACTAAGCTTGGATCAACCTGTCTGCAACTATTTCTTGAAAGTGATCAAGTTTTGTTTTTCCAAATAATAAGAATATCTTTTTTCTTGGTTATGTTTTGTAGCCTCCTAGATTTGATGATAGAGAAACTGCAGAACGAGTAGCAACTCCGGGTGTATCAGTTGGGCTAGTTTGGACATCTGTTGGAGGAGAAGTTCAATTTGTTGAGGCCACAGCGATGCCAGGTAAAGGTGATTTGCATCTCACTGGACAACTTGGTGATGTAATCAAAGAGTCGGCACAGATAGCTCTGACATGGGTATTTTCTCAATCATTTGTTCTAGTTGAACTGGGTATTTTCTCAATCATTTGTTCTAGTTGAACTTTGTCACGTGCTATATTGTATGCACACACACGCCTGCGAGCACACAAGTTTTTTTTTTGGGTTGAGTGTTCTCCAAATGGTCTGGTTCTTGTTAAGTTCATATATTGTCAATGATTCATTAATTGATAACACAATATAGTTTCGGTCAAGGGCACAATATATCATAAATTCAAAAATATATTTAATGCAAGAAGATCTAACTTCAAAGGTACCATGATCATCTACTGGCACATAATGCAGAAGTGTGGATTCTCTGTGATCTGCTGAAAGTTGTCAAAGTCACATTTTGATCATTATTGTCAGTTAACATCCCTTTTGATTTTTCGTTGGTAATATCTTGAGTTACTTCTTCTTGGGATATATATTGGAGCTGTAGTTCTTCCGGTTCCACTCTTTTCAAATTTGGTTAAATAATGACACTGAAGCACTATCTTTTGCTTCTTGATTATACATGTGGATTCCTGGTTACATTCATGATATTTTTTTTCAGCGCTTTTCATATTAATGATACAAGCAACTGTTTCTCATTCTGCATTGGAAACAAAACATAATAGCTAATCACCTCTTATGCTATGCACCCTGTTTTGCTTCTATCTATTTACTTTCTTTATACTTGAAGAGGGTAAGATATATAATCTGTCTTCAACCTTACTCATTTTGCTTTCTTACTTCCCTCAGGTCAGAGCAAGAGCAGGTGATCTTAAGCTGACATCTGGCGGTGAAAAAAATTTACTCGAAAGTCGCGATGTTCATATACACTTCCCTGCTGGTGCTGTTCCAAAGGATGGTCCATCTGCTGGAGTGACTTTGGTAACATCATTAGTATCTCTATTTAGTCGAAGAAAAGTTAGAGCAGATACTGCAATGACCGGAGAAATGACACTTAGGGGCCTTGTGTTACCTGTAGGTGGTATCAAGGATAAGGTAGGTGATGAATTATTATTCCGAGCTTACTTATTCATTATGTGCTTTCGTTACCATCATTGATATTTTCTTTTGGATTTTGAGGTTGGACTAACTGTTAACGATTTGTTTGAAATTTCAGGTTCTCGCAGCACATCGGTATGGCATAAAAAGAGTAATCCTGCCGGAAAGAAACTTGAAGGACTTGGTTGAAGTTCCATCAGCTATTATTGCCGGCATGGAGGTAATTAATCTCTTTACGATCATCATTTGTCTCTTCATATATATTGTGAATGGGGATCATTCATTCATGCATTTTGAACACATCATTTTTATCCAACTTCTCTGATGTTGTGTCTACGGAGGCTTTTTGGACCTTCGAAATGCACTTGTCCACAAATAAAAGCGACAAAATTTTGGACTGACGTATTTCCTAATTTTATACTTCCTTTTATTGATATAAAACAGATTTTGTTTGCGAAGAGGATGGAAGATGTATTAGAGCAAGCATTTGAAGGAGGATGCCCATTGAGACCACAGTCCAAATTATAGCAATTCCCACTCTTGAGTCTACCTTCATTTTGGCTAAGGCATAATACCTGGTGTATGCATCATTCTCAAACTTCGCAGACTTCGGTGCTTCTTGATAGTTATAAATCTTATCTCGTTCGATTTATTATCCAATCCACAGGCGACGAGATCTGTATCACTATGTACGCAGGGGCGTTGACCCTTACAAGTGTATATTATGCGCAGGGAACAATGGCTCTCATGGGAGTTGTATACATAACCAAAGGGGATTCCTGTATCCTGTATATTACTAATTTTTCGTCTTCCAGATACTTGCTATTTATAATCAATGTTACGAAGGAAATTATTTCATGTCGACTCAGTCATATATTCATTCTATTTTTTTTCTTTTTCTTTATCTTTTTTGGTTGATAAATAATTAAGAGGTAGATATGCTTCAATGTATGCCTCGAGTCATAACTGGAAAGATGCTTTGAGTTATTTATATTGCTGGGTATAGAATGTTGTAACTTCAATTTCTACCCATAGAAGGCAAATCGGAGCCTCATTTTGTACGTTTATGGTATGGTTGAGATTAGATTAGACCAAACCACAGAGCTTAATTTCATATGTTGGATTCTGTGGACTTTGGTCCATGACTCGTATCCAACAACTCCAAAATTTTGGTTAGAACCCTGACGTTATCAAGCCACTAACTAGATCGATCAACCACTCAACCCGCCAAAAAAACATTACAAAAACTTCTAGCTTACCAAACACCTACTCTTAACCAAAACCTCAAATTATAGCACTCAAAACTTCATCATCAATGTGAAATCAAATTCCGTCTTTCATCAAACAAAGCATCTCAAATGTCTTCGCCACAAATCTCCATCCCTCCTCCATCATCTTCCTCCTCTTCATACAACTCTAGCCTCCTCGTCATCGCCACCCTCCTCGCCTTTGTCCTCGCCTTCACCATCGTTGTCCACCTCATCCTCCGCCTCCTCGCTCGCCTCTCCTATGTCGCTCCCTCTCCCTCTCTCACCCACATCAACGCCACCTCCTCCAACCCCGCCTCCACCACCAACACCACCACCAAACTCGACCCCAATCCTAAAATCCTAATTGACTCGCTCCCCCTCTTCACCCTCTCCTCCCTCCCTCAATCTCCTTCATCAAATTGCACAATTTGCCTCTCCCAGTTCACCCTCAACGAGAAGCTCCGCCTCCTCCCGCCATGCCTCCACGCATTCCACTCTTCTTGCATTGATGCGTGGCTCAAATCATCCCCTTCATGCCCACTGTGTCGGTCATTGGTGCAAATTCAGTGTACGGAGCCTCCTCCAGTCGCGGCTCCACAGGTGGTAGAGGAGGAGGCTCAGTCGAATGTTGAGGAGACAGAGAGCGTTCCGTGGTTGAAGGAGTATGTGGATCGACTGGCGGTATCAGCGTCATCCTCATTCAATTCGATGAGGTTTTCATCATCGTCGCCATTCAGTTCGATGAGGTTCTCGTCGTGGGGGAGCCAGAGCTTTGATGGGGATGTGAGCGGGAGTTTGGAGTTGGGGGAGAGTCTTAGGTCGGAGGAGAGTGGGTACCTAGCTTCTTCATTCAAGTGGATTTTTGGGAGGGGCAACTTTGTAATTACGGTGTAGTGTAGGTCTGTTTAGTGGGTGGTCTTTGGCGGGTAAAATGGGAGTTGAAACAGAAACCAGGGAAGACACTTGAACCAAAGAACAAGTTGAGTTTTACTGTTTTCCCCTTTTGCTTTGTATTGAGAGCAATTTCAATGGAGATTCTAAGAAAAACACAAAAATAGGAAGAATTTGTGTGCATAGGAGAATTCTTCAGATATACTAATTGATGCATCCCAATTTAGAATTTTCGAACTCTATAGCTCTCAATATCCAGTAACCAAACATAAATTCATTTAGCATGTTGATTTTCTACACAATTCTAATTAATATTAAGATAAATACAACACAGTCTAAATATATCATCTCATGTGCATCCTCTTCAGAAAGAAGGGACTACCGCTATCATCGCTTCTCCTTGAAGAGGAAGGTGAAGGAGATGGCGGCTCAAATAATTTGCAGAAATGAAGGAGTTCATCGGCTCCAGCTGGCACCACAGTTGATCCATCTGGGCTCTGCGTAAAAAGAATACGAGTTTACGTTGCATACCTTATATTGACAGATAAAAATTTTCAATGAAATACTTTGGTTCAGAGATTTCAAACCTGGGTTGGGTTTAAAAATTATGGCCCAATTTCATATAGACCCCCCGAGTGAATTTTTTGTGACTAATGTGTCTTGACAAATAGACCACGTGAGGTTAAAGAAGTAAAAAAGTTCACTCGGGGGGTCTATCTGCAACAATAGAACTGCAAGGGATCTATTTGCAATTAAACCTTAAGAAATGGCACCATTATACTGAATTGTCCATAGAACTTATAGATATGAATTCCCTAATTCACACAAATTGGGTACAAATTTGTATACTCCAAGTGGTTCTAAATGTAAAACAAGGATAATGCACAAGTTTCAGAAACATGAGTATGATGGATTTTACCTGTGCACCAGTGTCAATACTAGTAACACATTTGCCTAAGTTGACATTCCATATCTTTATGCAATGATCACCGGTTCCATCACCAGATGCGAGAAAATTCGATCTAAAGGGGCATCAAGCTAAGAGCTTTCACTGCCGCGGAGTGATCTCTGAACCTGTGCAGATATTTGGATGCGTGTGAAGATTGCCAGACATTAACAAGCTGATCATTAATTGCCTCCGCTAGCCAACTGGTTCCCGTTATCTGACCATTTTAGACCGCAAACCTCGCCTTTTGTGGCCAATGTAGTAGGATGCCGGTCTATCTGCTATTCTCACTGCATTCAAAATTCTAATTAACAAAACAATTTCTTGTTTTTATTATTAAGGGTTACTGCAGATAGACCCCCTGCACTGTGGTCAGCTTGAACTAGCTACACCTGTAGTTGCTTCTATCATCACAGGTAGAGCCCCCGAAAGAGTTTTGTTGTTGCAGATACCCCCTGAAAAGGGTCAATTGGCTAAGGGGTCTATCTGCAACAACAGAACTACATGCTAATAAGGTCAGTAGGCGGTAGTACAGGGGGTCTAATTAACAAAACAATTTCTTTCTTTCCATCGGCTGACCATGCTACACTTGTGGGTAGATAGTCTCTGGCCAGCAAGCGTTCTGTCTTGCAAGTAGAATCATGCCATGGGTATACTGAGGATCCAAGAATCACAGCAACTGCAAGGATGTTGGTTTTACCCCCCCAATCCAAGAGGTTGGTATAGTAATTGTCAGGTATATTTGGTGCATCCAGTGTTTTGACAGGTTTCTGTTAAATCATCAGAAACAAAGGATCAGAATGAAGGAAAATAAAAAATAAGGGTGAATTTCACAAAACCACTTTAAGTTTTAGCCGATTTTGAGATGACCCCCATAAACTTTAAAAACGTCGCTTGACCTCCCTTTAGTTTGGGTTGTTTCAGAAAATCCCAAAAAAGGTTTCAATTTTTTCAAATAAAACCCATAAATGTGTCGGATGAACCAATAAAAAGACCAAAATAGCCTTTAAAAAAATTGACACATTAATTGTTAAATTAAATTAAATTAATTAATCAGGGGCATTTTCATCAAAATTGTACCAAAGTTGAGGGGGGTCTTGTGAAAGTTATCTTTAAAATTATTAAAAAGGACACGAAAGGAGTTTTTTCTATCGCGGGCATTTTGGTCCTTTGGATGCATGCGATTTTCACGTGACCAGATAGATCTAAAGTTGTTAGCTGGGGGATTCTCCGGCAAAACTTAAGTGTCATTTCTAAAGTTTAGGGAGTTATCTGACAAAACTTAAGAGGGGTTTTGTGAAATTTACCCAAAAATAATAACTCTTTAAGGTATCTGATTATGCACACACTGTAATGTTTCATTCAGGATATCATCTCCTTTCTGATTCAGTCAACAACATAAAACATTAACAATGCCCATATCATCTCCATTCTGAATCATTTCCTTCTCATACAATTAGCAATAAGCAGTGTCACTCCATTAATGATAGAACTCTCTGAATATGTTTGGTGGTCTTTTAACAAAATTTGATCACATTTTCTCATTGAGGCTTCCTATATCTTGAGTGAATATGCCTCAGAATCTCATTTTTTTTCTGCATTCTTTTTCTAAGCTCATGCAGTATAGGCCTTGTACTGCCTTATATTTTCCTGACACAGTAGAAATCTTTTCTTTGAGAAAAAAGGGCACAATATCACCTGAAAATCCCCAAGAAACAGTTTATAGAAAAAGAAAAACTCGATAGATTGCGTAAATGTCTCAAGTTGTTTAGGCGAAGTACTAGTTCGCGTAGAAACTCCTAACGAATCTTAAATTTATCGAAATTATCGTAACTATCTCGAAACCGTTTCCCCCTGTAGTTTCAGAAAATTAGATAAAGGTGATGAGAGCATCTGACTTATGTAAATTTCTAGTTTTTAGTCATATTATTGCTCAGATCAAACTTATACAGAACTCATTATTTCTCAATACAACATCCATTGGGGGTCATCTTGTGAGTTTCTTATTCTTATTAAAACAAAGCAATTCTATGAGGACTTCTCCTTATGTTTTCAGACATTCATTAAACCTACAAATTCTCTATCCAAACCATCAAGAACACATGAATCAACAAAAATCTATGAAAAAGTCGATGCATCAATTACATTACACACTCACGTGATCGTCTCCGAGCCACTGCTAAATCCTTCCCTTCTTCATCAACCTCGACCCCATTCTTGCTGCATTTGCTTGGGCTCCCCCTGAACACCAACATCCTAAATGGATTCCCCTCTGAATCCTTGGTCAGATTCTCCTCTACTCTCTTAATATTTTCGTCCTAAATCAAGAGGGGGGGAGATATCATCTAAACTGAAAAAACAATACAAATGGAGTCAGAGAAAAGAAACAGACCCTTGAAGGAGAGATTGCTGAACGTCCACAAGGTCGTCTCTGGCTCTCTGCTCCATCGGCGCTAGCAAGCTTCATGCATGCTCGATGTCCATTAGGCTTCTTGTGGGTATGAAGCGATCGCCCTTGAACATATCAAGAAAAAGTTTTCAGTAAGAAACTTGATGCAAGAATTCAAGAAATGATCGAAGAAAGGGAAGAATGTCGGAATTGTGATCTTAAGGCCACATGATGATCTCTGTAAACTGCAATAATTTTAAGAAAGGAGAAGGAAGAAAGGACTTTGAGAAGGAATGATAGGATTTAGAGGTTGGCTGGCTTTGAGACTCAAGTGTTGGTCGCTGATCAAGGTTAATTTGCTGTCTTCTATAAATTAGTTTGTTTTTCTTCTGGGTTTTTATTTGGGTGAAGGTTTTTCTCAAACGGCTTGAGTTAGTTCATCAGTTAGCAATATTTACCTTTTACAGTTTGTACTAATAATTTACTGTAAAATGAAAAGCCTGACGATTCCGGAGAGAAATAAACATAGTAGTTTGATTCAATACGGAAATGAATTGTAGACCTATTTAGTTAATTCTAGCTAGCAGATAAAGAAATTTAAATTATCATCTGTGTACGAGTATTTTCAACTATTTTTCCACATTCAAGAGGGAATTTGTTCTATGAAATTAAAACCAAAGAAAAAAAAGGAAAGGGTTAATTGTGGATAGATCCCTTGTACATAGCCTAATTGCAGATAGGCCCTCCGTGGTTCTATTATTGCGGGTAAACCCTTTGAGCGAATTTTTACTCTTTTACTCTCAAACGAAGAGGAAATTATTGTTGTTATTGTTAAAAAAGACAAAAAACAAATAGACCTCCTGAGGGTAAAAGAGGCAAAACATGCACTCGGGAGGTCTATCTGCAACAATGAAACAAGGGGGGTAGATTCGATTTGTCGAATACTACAGGGGATCTATCCATAATTAATCCAAAAGTAAAAGGAGGACTATACCAAAATATGTTCTTCCAAAGTCTCTAATTCATTACTTTTCCACTTCATTACAAACTAAAGAATGTCTCTAACCTGCTCTCTCACGTTCTCCTACATTTGAACACCAAATACAAAAGCATAAACAAGAATGACAAAACCAAAATTCATTATATCATCCAAGAACACAACCTTCCTCCCATCACTACAAGGTTGATCAATTCCACTGAAACAACCAGTTTTCTGCTCAATCCCACGACCACCTTCAAGAACAAAGCTCGAATTAGTTTTCCCGGTACTAAACAAAATACACCAGAACGAAGCACCCTTCTTCACTCTCCTCAATGCTACGCCAACTTCAGTATGCTCTTTACTATGAATAAGTGAGAGTTCCTTCTTATGCGTAACGAGAATCTCAGAAAATGCCTCCTCTGGATTAAGGTATTTCCATTGACAACCGGTAATTTTCCCAGAAATGGTTTCAACAGTTGGCAATTCTACACCACAATTGGGAGCATAGACTTCAGTGATATCAACTTCTGAAGGCTGACATTTTAATGTATTGTTACTGCTGCAGTTTAATATACATTCGGAGATATACTGCAGGGCCATGCATCCGAGCCCTGGACTATCGAACAATTTGGGGAGTTTGCTTGCTGTTCGATTTTGATTTAGCAAGTCGATGATTTCATTAGCTGGATTGCCTGCAAGAAAATATAATCATTGTGTAAACGTAATTGGAATGTTATGTGTATGTGTATGTGTATGTGCATGTATATTCCTTTTTTTTTGTAAAATAGCTTATCTTTATAGCATGGTTTTGATGAATTGCTGATGTTGTATAAAAGACATAGAAAAGAAAGTAGGATTACTATTCTTTAACTTGTTTGTTGATCAAGTGAAATGAATAATATTATGATACTATTTTACTTGGTGGAATCTTTTAGCAAATATGGTCCTGGCAAGAACTAGTTGATAGCTTATTGTTACTGACTTTTTTTTTAATCACCGAAGATTGCGTCTCCTCCAATCTAGTTTCTTTTTTCTTTTTTCTTTTCCTTTTTTTTGGGATTAATCCTAGAATCTAGTATTGAAAATGAGCAGTCAGCTCTACTAGGTTACATCTGTTTACCTTTTTTAGCAACTTGTATCTGTTAACCTTACTCCACATTGTTAACCTGTAACTGAAATAGATCAAGCTTTTCCTTCAAGTGGTTTCCTAACATGATATCAAACCACTAGCTTTTCAAGAGTTTCTATGCAAGCCTCATCATTGTTACATTTTACGTTAGCCCACAATCATAGAGCTTTTGAAGTATTTTTTTATTGCATATTTGGGATAATTTTCTTTGAAATCAGATAGATTAATAAATAAGACTAGTGAAATAAAAATTGTCTGAGTATGTTGTTTCAAAATATTTCTTCCTCATAAACTTGAGCATCAATTTTCACGTCTCATAAACTTGTTTCAAAATATTTCTAAAAAGAAAATGACAACAGGGATAACAAAACCACAGGGAGATTCACAGAACACCATTTGTGGGTTTCTTCCTCAATCCAGACAGAAGCTTTTCCGTACACACCTTAGACCAAATTAAGCAAATAAGCCCAAAACAAGAGCATCAGGGCAAAGAGAATTTTGGTTTCTGAGCTCAAATTGAAGAAGCAGCTCCAGCAGAAATGGAGAATGATGAATGAATGGGGCAGTTTTCTTGCTTTCACATTGATGAGATGGTTTTTTTTCGGTTGTATTGTACAGTTGTACTGCTCACTGCTGCTTTTACCCGTGAATTGAGGTAAGTGGAATGATGGAGGGTCCCTCTGTAGCCGTTTGATGAGTTGGCTCATCTT